ATGATGTGGAAGCTAAGTATTATGCTGATGGTGAGGATGCATATGACATGCGGAAGCGGCTAAAGGGGAAGCAGAACCATCACCATTAGCATGGTGGTGGGTGTTGTTTTGGTAAGGCAAGAAGTTCAGAGGGGACTTAAAGAACAGGAGACTCAAAATCAGAGTCGAAAGCAACTAAGTATGATGGTGGGAGAACATTGCAAAATAGGCCTTTTTTTCTATCTTGTATCATAATTGCCTCAGACTTGCTGTATTGCAACTTTCTTTGCTGATTAAATTAGAGAGATCATACTTGATGTACAATTTGGTAGCCAATAAACTTTGGTTTTTCACATCAATATTGGCTGCTCTGTTTCCTAAGGGTGTTACATTAGAGAAGTTTTATGAATTTATTTTGTAAAACATTTCTCCATTGAGGAAGCAGAGATAATTCTAGTTGAAGAAATTGAAATTTATGTTTCATGATTAAATACCATAAACTCTTTAAGAAATAACAGAGATAAAATCTATTCAGCTGTAAGAAATAACAGAGATAAAGAGGTAAGGATTATCTAATCTAGTAGCTCTCTCTTTGAACAAATTCAACTGTACAGTTTATTTGCTGATACAAGTACCAAGTATGTGTACAAATGGTTGCTTATGCTCGATGTGAATCAATGAGTGTCCAATGTTCAGATGTTGGAAATCCTCAAGCTCAAGGAAGATGTTGCCAGAGCTTGGATGCTAGCCCCGCTCTGAAACATACAAAAGAATTACGATACGGAGAATATGCATTACTTTGGTTCTTGCTGGAACTTTTGGCCTAAAGTAGACAGCGAGCGGCCGAGGAGACAGTTGCTCTCTATTTACGCGTTTTGGATGTGTTTCTCTCATCCAGTCCAGACATTCATTCAACAGTGATACCAGAGGGAAGACCCAACTGCGAAGCAAACAGTTTTTATTGGTGCCAGGGAAAAAAAAGAGTAATATAACATTTGAAAGTTCCAAATGATATTTTAGGGAGCTGAAGATGACTTACCCATTCCCTAAAAAGTGGTCCTCCAGTTTTAAGCTGTCAAACATGCATTATATCTTTCCCCCAACTTTCTCCAGATTTGCATTCCAACAACAACAAACAAAACAGCACACAGGAAAATGCCAACAACAACAGACCACCAATGAGATGTTGAAAACTGGAGAAGCATAAGGTTACATTAACTAGAAGTGAATGGAAGCCTGAAGGATTTAAGATGAGATTTACAAACTGGAAAGTGATCGTACCTATTTTAACAACAATGGCATTCTCAACTGTCACGAACAAATCTACCCTCTTGTCCAGTTCAAAGTTCTTGTTTAGCATATCTTGAGTATAATGGTATCAGCAGGGTATAGCAATCTAGACATTAATTGGGCAACTTGCCTGGGATCTTTAATTTCTCTAAGCAGCAACCCAACAGCAAACCAAAGTTATTACATGATGCCTCAATCCTGTTAAGTGTTTGAGGTAAAAAAGAAGATAGATTATCTCGAATACAAGTATAGATGGACCATAAAACAGAATTCAAGCTAAAATGTGTTTTATTTCCTCTGTATGTAGTGCGCTGCAACAGAGTTTGATGAAGAAAATGTGTTTAAATCTACACAAGTCAAAAATATAAGAGATCTATGTAACCAATTTAACATTAAGATACCGTGTGACCAATCCTTAAAATACATTCATAATCCAGCCATTGATCTTACAGTAGCTTTGAGCAAAGGTAAAGGGCTTTCCGGTTCTCCTCCTCCTCCTTGAATCCATCACCACCAGCCTCCTACAATTTGATACGAAAAAACAAATCACTTGCAACAGTTGACTGCTGGGTCTTTTTTGAATTCAATCTGCCAATGCAATGCAAAGTCCATTACAACAAGGATTAAGTGGTCCAACAAGAGTTTATCCAAACATAACTGAAAACAAGAAGAGATACCATCTATTTCTATACAAGGAATGTGGGCTATCAACAGCTAATATGCTCTTTTCTTCTTTAAGCGTTGTTGTAGAAGTTGACAGTTTCTGATACAAAGTTTTCCAACTTTTGCAGGCATTCCTTCCCTTGGCAACTCTCGAAGCTTTGGACAATCGCTGACTTCTAGCTCTTCAAGAGAGCTCAGGTTTTGCAGTTCTGTGGATAGAGATTCCAGACTGTTGAGTCTAGAAATGACTATAGAAGTGAGAGATGTAGGAAGCAGACACTTTTCATCTGGGAAGGAAGCTGTATCCGGTGCACCAACAATGATGAGCTCTTTAAGAGAGGCTAGAGAGTGTAGGTTCCACTCTGACATTGGCTCCTTCAAATTCATGCAATCCCAGACCTCTAGTACCAATAGTTGAGGGGACAAACCCCCTTCGGGAAACGACACAAGACATGGACAGTCACAAACTGTTAGACATTGAAGAGAGGCAAGATTTTGCATCCTCTCAGGTAGAGAGTTGAGATTAGCACAACTGTAGATTTCTAAGGTTTTCAAAGTGGGTGAGAGACCTGCCTCTGGAAAGGAGATTAAAGCTGGACAATTACTTATGGTTAACTCAGTCAGATGTCTGAGGCTATATAGGCATTCTGGCAAACTTCTGAGAGTTGTATAGTTCCGCATATAGATGTATTCAAGTGATGCATTGTTGTGCAGCAGCTGCTCTGGAAGTGGTTCCAGCTTTGAGCAATCACAAAATTTTCAGCGTTTTAAGACTAAATGGTAATATGCCTTCAGGAAAGCACGTTAGAGATGGACAATTATCAATCTCCAAGCTCTTCAGATCCCACATGTGTGTGTTGTTATTTTTCTGCATGATTCCCTCTGGTAGAGACTGCAAATTTGTACAACCTTGGATTTTCAACCTTTGCAACCTGGTAAGCATGATGCCTCCTGGAAGGCATGTCAGGGAAGGACATTCTTCAATCTCCAATTCTTCAAGAAGACAATAACTAGTCTTGTAATTAAGCATCATCTTCCAATCAGGCAGGTTCTTAAGAGCTACACAATCTTTCAGCATAAGATGTCTAAGTGTGGACAAGCAACCTGTCTCAGGAAATGATACAAGTTTTGGGCATGATTCAAAATGCAAACTTTTGAAAGTCAGTTTCTCAAAGTCTCCATAGTTGATCAACTCAATATCATCCAAACTACCATAAAGACCTTGTTCATTTTCTATCAGAGATACAAACTTGGAGCAGCCCTTTATTTTTAGATGCTTAAGAGAAACAATGTTTTTCAGTCCAGTACTCTTCTGCCAAAAAAATGTCAGTTTGGCGCAATTGGACACATCAAGGGTTTGAAGTGCACCTAGAGACTCTAGCATCTCTTGCGGCAGACATACAAGGTCCCTAATACTTTGGATTCTCAGTGTCGTTAAGGAAGTAAGTTGAACAATATTTTTCAGTTGCTCCTTGTTGCAGTCTTCAATATTTAATTCACAAAGAGAAGGGAGGCTCACAAGTGAACCCTCCAACTTTGGGCAACGACTAATGATAAGCCTCACAAGGGAAGGAAGGTGTCTTGGTAAGTCCCCAGTCAGCTTTGGACAATTTTGTAGCATGAGCTCACGAAGAGAAGGAAATTCATCATCTAAATCTTCGTCACCTTTATGAGTAGAAGACCAATGTTCCCATTCTAACATATTCTGAAACCACAAAATTTCCAAGAACGGAAACCTCTTAGTATAAGGCAAACGATCACCATAAAACTCAAGACCCACCTTCTTGACTCTATTCATGCCTCGGATGGACAACTTCTTCAATAATGGCAGCCTCCCAAGTGATGGAAGTGACATGCTTTTACTGCAGTTATTAAGGTTCATGTGCACAATATTAGTGAATGAGGGATCTCCTAACCAAGATGGAAACCTTTCGCCGTCATAAAATGAAATTGTAAGTTCTTTCAGATTCGTATTAGGTTTTAGCATGTCAAGAACAAGCATTTCACGTTCTTCATTTTGATGATCAAGGAACTCACTACTCCATTTCATATATAAGCCCTCAATACCATGCTTGTCCATTAGATTAGCATCCCTAGCATCTCGAACATTTACCACATTTTCCAATCCAGTGATAGAAAGCTCCCCTTTTAAATGTTTCAAGTCCTTCAATTCTCTAATGCCAAACTGATTGTCCTTTCCAACACAGAATTTGGACAAAACCTGAAGCTTTATCAACTTGCCTATTTGCAATGGCATCTCCACTAATTTCTCACTATTAGTAAGATCAAGGACAAGAAGTTTAATTAGATTTTCAATACCTTGTGGCAGCTTAGTAAGCTCCCTGCAGCCTCGCAATAAAAGTGTTTGTAAGTTGAACAGGTTCCCCACAGATTCTGGGAACTGTTTAATTGTACTGTGAGACAAATTAAGGTACCTCAAATGCTTCAGATGATCAATAGAATATGGTATTTCGTCTATCCAGTATCCACTCAAAGATAGCACTCTTAAGCATCCTAATTTTTCCAGCAACTCTTGTAACACATTTTTACCTATGGAATAGCCTGCTGCCAGAGATGATGCATCCATTGGAAATGCTATGAAAGTCCGTGAAGACTGCATGCGGTCTAATGCTTCAAATCTTTTGGAAATCTCATATTGGTGGCGAGTGAATGACAAATGGCGAAGCTTCGCAATAAATTCATGTGACTTGTCTTCAAATGTATCCCCAAAATGAGAGCATATTTCTCTAGCAACAGATTGAGCTAGATCATTTATAAGGTCATGCATAACAAATAGTGTTTTGTTGCTATTTGAGTGTTGGAAAAAAGACATTGAAACCAAATCATGAAAATATGTAAGATCTATGTCTTGTCCCTTTGCTTGTTGTATTAACCCCTCAGCCATCCATAGTAGAACCAAGTCATTCTTGTCAAATTCATAGTCCTTTGGGAATATAGCACAATAGGCAAAGCATCGTTTCAAATGAGAAGGAAGATAATGGTAACTCAACATCAGAGCAGGAAGGATGCCACTCCTTTCTTCTCGTATGTCCCACATCTCACTCCTCAACAAATCTTCCCACTCATCACCATTTACTCTACCACGCAGAAGCCCACCCAAAGTCTTGGCTGCCAGTGGTAAGCCTTTACACTTGCACACTATTTCTTTACCAATTTCTTTTAGATTCGGGTGTTCATCAAAATTACTAGCACCAAGGGCATGTGTGACAAACAACAAAAAGCAAGCTTTGTTAGACAACACTGGCAAATGGTATACCGGATACGTGGTCATGATCGACACAACCCTTTCATTTCGAGTGGTTACAAGTACTTTACTCCCAGGAGCTCCTGCCATGAAGGGTGTCCGCAGAACATCCCATTGCTCATAGCTCTCATTCCACATCATCCAAAACAATCAAAAACTTCTTTCCAGAGAGCATCTCCTTTAGCTTCACTTGAAGCACATTGAGGTCCGTGAAATTGAAACTCTCCAAAGTAACAGCCTGCACCAGAATCCGAGTCACCCTAGTGATATCGAATTCTCGAGAGACACAAACCCAAACTCTCAACTCAAAAAAGTTTTCAATTTTATCATCATTGTAAACTAACTGAGCAAGAGTGGTTTTGCCCACACCACCCATTCCAACAATTGAAATCACACCAGTTTCCCCATCCATTAACCAAGAAAGAATCAGCTGTTTATCCTTATCCCTGCCAAGATCCGGAGATTCATTATCAAGAGAAGAGGTGGAGGGCAGCCAGTCCCTTTTTGTCTCCAATTTCTCTTGGCCACCACTCTCCACCCAATTCAAAACATTCTTGGGCTTGACAATCTCTTGAAATCTAGCAGTGATAGCTTCAATCTCTAACCGGAACCGCCCACTAAACTTAGTGCCAGTTGAATTGAAACCTAGACAACATGGTGTGAAAAAGGAGCGTACCTTACTGTTGGTGCCAAGTTCAGTGTGTCTTGGTATCAGGGCCTCGGTGTTAATTTCATCAATGCTAAAGCTTCCATTTTTTTTTTCAGGGTTTGAGGGAATTAGGAATTAGGAACGCAGACCAGACCTCTTGGCAAAGTAAAAATCAACTCTACCTTAATCAGCAAAAATACAAGTGAGAAATTGAAAA